GACACAAAGGTCTAGAAAATCAGAAGAAGAAGAGAACATAACGTCACTATGAGCTTCCCAGATGCAGTGAACTTCCCGGTTACTAGTGAGTGTCACAAGATGGGGAAGGATCAGAAGAACAAAAAGAAGAGAAGAGGACAAAAAATTAAAATTTAATTTAGGAGTTCGCTTCGTTTCATAGGCTCGTTTTTTCCTCGCTTCTCTAAAGGTCACTCTGCCTAGGCTATTCCAGGCAACCTCGTTTCGTCTCTCGCCTTGGCACTCTTTTTAAAATATTGGTTCTGCGAGTATAAGTATATATAATAGGGAGACGGTTATAGACAAATCAAAAGAGGGCAAATTAGAGACAATCATATCAGTAACATAAGTGTCAGAGTGAACATCAATAAAAAATTAGTCATAATAATTGTGATTATATTTATGTAAATTTGAAGAAGTAGATGCAAATATAAAATAACGGAATATGCTCCATGAAAACAACATGCTAAGAGACAGAGTTTGTAATCAACATGATCATAACAACAATATCCTTTTTAAATTTCACCATAATCAAGAATGAGCAGAAAATGCATTCAACATGAACATGTAGAATGTATAGTACGAAGAGCACTAGGAAGTAAGACAAAACACGTGCATCCAAACACTGGTGAGTAGAAATAATTAGGTTGCTTATCACATAACTTTTCAAAGGGAGAGATTCCAGATGTGATGACAATGGGAATGCAATTAAGAAGAACTTGGGTCACTTGCAAACAACAAGAGAGAACGTTTTGTCTCCATAATATGTCGATGTTTGTAATTTGCTATATCATTTAGTTAGGTGTGTTGGTGCAAGAAGATTGTCAAACAATGTCATTTGATTTTAGCTAACTTAGATCCATTACATCTAGAATTGTCATGACACTCTTAAGTTATCCAAACTACCATTAGAGGCTAAATATTTCAAACGAGACTGAGAAATATGACCAAAATAAGAATGTCACAAATAAAAACTAGAAGACTATAGACTCAAATGAAAAGAACACAAATCAATAGTAAAAACAACAAAATTTGGAACATGTAACTTGTCCAAAACATACAATCCCATTTTTCTATTACTTATCGTATTTAGCTTCTTGAAAAATAGATCTTGCACAACACAACCATAAGAAGAAAAGTGAACTGAAAATCCAGTGTCAAATAGTTGATTAATTGAAATTAAATTAAAAGTAAGTTGTGGAATATAATAAATATTAGGAAAAGTTAGCTGCGGAGAAATAATTGACCCAACACCGGCCAGGGACATTTGAGTACCATCGACTTCAAGCACAAATATAGAGAGAGAAGACAAGGTAAATGCAAATAAGAAAGAATCACTGGTCATGTGATGTATAACACTTGAGTCAAAGACCTAGACGGTTCGAAATATGCTTGAAGGATCTCAAGTGAACAACCCTACGAAAGGAGAGATAGAGAGTACGAGGCTACTGAACAATCTTCTGTAACTGACCAAAATCATAGTCAATTTTAAACTAATGGATTGACGAGAGTTAGAGTTTCTACTTGCCATAATTTCAGCAAATGAAAATTGTACAAGAAGAATCAAATCACATAAACCAAAACTAAACACAAAATCTAAAGCCTGGCAATCAGGTAACACAATCACAAGGGTATCAAACCAATACCCTAGAAAGAGCCCATCAAACCTACAAGCCAGAGAGCAGTGAATACAACAGCAGCAGCTAGGGAATGAATCCTAACACTAGTGAAGAAAGACTAATGATACACACTGAAGAGAAGTTTGCCAGTGAAATAACAACGCAGAATCCCAACACTAGCGAAATAACAATGTAGAATCATAGCTTGTGATGGGGATAAGAGGCATAAAGAGGTTACCGGTGTACATATACATATCACCGAACCTCCCAAACAACCCAAATTTCGTCCCAAATTAATTTAACAATCTTGCAAATCAAGTATCCACAACCAATTGAGGCTTCTTAGACGAGAATCTAGGAAGCACGGATACGGACACAGGTGTTATATCCGATACGATACGGATACGGGGATATAACAAAATTCCAAAATATAAGATACGGGTACGGCGAGAATACGACTAATTAAAATAATATAACATATTTTTATATATATATAATAACATTAATAATTAAATTGAGTAATTAATTAATATTTATAAGTGGACAAATGAACTAATATTAAATTTGATTAGTAGGTTAATATGTTATAGATAGTGGGTTAAACTAAATTGGGTAGTGGGTGACAACTAATAAGGTATAATTGTAATTTAACATAAAATATAAGAAGTCCAATGGTTATTTGTAAATTATTTTAGCAATTAGGGCAAAGAAAAAAGAAAAGAAATAATGGGGGTTGAAATGTAAATAAGACAAGCAAAAAAAAAATAAAAAGAAAAAGGCCGCCCTTTATAATTTTTCAGCAACTAGGGCAAGCCAAATGAAAGTAGATATGCAGGCGGGAGAGAGAGGGAGAGACTTGAAGATGAAGACGATATACCTACTTGAAGAGGAGTTCTGTGGCTGTTGCTGATCAGGTACATCATCTTCTTCTCTACTTTTTTTTTTTTCCAAATCCATGGTTGTGTCGTATCCCTCCGTATCACCCCGTATCCGTCATTCCTCACTGTTCAGGACACTTGTGGAAATATCGAACACTTGTCCGGCAGTGTTCAACGTGTATCCATGTCAGACACATGTCCGACACCACCACGTCGACCCCTTGAGGAGTATTCGTGCTTCCTAGACGAGAATAAAGCAAAAAGAAAGCAATATAATCAATTTTGGTTAGTATGAATAGTAGCATCGATACTATTCATAGCCCTTAGAACAAACAAAAAACAGCAAAAGTCCAACCACTTGCCCGCAAATCACACAATATAAGCACCAAGAATCTCTAGTTGCACCCGTTAGGCTTTGGTTTGAAGCAAAGAAATTGAATAAAACAAGAAAAAATTCATGATCGAAAAATTGGTGCGATATTTTTGAAACATAGATAACCCTATCCAATAAACATGAAATTGAAAACAAAACACACCATGAGAATGCCCATGAAAAATCAAGTTGAGTGGTGTCTTCAACTGGTCGAAGATGTCATGGTAACGATGATGACATCAAAGTTAGTCCAAGATCAAATTCATTCTCTAAAATAATAACTGTGATGTTAAATATGTTTTCGGATAGCATAGTGCTTTGATACCATGTAAACTTGGTTGAAAGAAAGGGAAATGAAGAAAAAGGTAGAGGAAATATGGTTACAACACAAGAAACTAGTGCAACAACATCAAAACCTAAGATATATAATTGAGGCCCTTATAGTAGGGTAGCATGCAATAAATAAATGACTAAACTACCCCATTAATACTAAGTATACTTGACTACTCTAACACAACTTTTAGTGCTTAGTTTTCACTTTTATCAAACATCACCTTAGACTAAAACGTATTTACTTTTGTCACTAGGGGTTTAATGCTATCCCCTTGCCTCAATTTTTTTTTCCAATATTTTATGGCTAAACCCAATTTTTTTCTATGACTGACATTTGGACCTAATGCATATTTGCTCAACCTTGCACTAGATTTGAATAATAGGCCGTAGGAGATGCTTTTTAATCCAGACACCTCGAAGCCAGTTAGTTTCCTTCTCTTTTTTTTTTCTTTCCGATCTTTCTAATATGGACTGTGTTGATTTGATGAAAACTCGTTTGGCTGTAATGATCAGCATAGGGTTTAGTGTATGGTCTCAATTTAAGGGTATCATCGAGCCATTTTAGTGGCTCAATGCTGCTATCTACTACTGCTCTCACATTGCTTCACTTGACTTTGTGATTTATTTGCCACCGTTAAGGAGAGCAGTTGATGGTAAATGATTCTGGAGGATGCTAAATCTTCGCTACTCCTTAAGCTCTCACTTAACTAAAACAAAGTGAAAGGGTGTGGGAAGTGGCGGGCCAGCATATTTTTGTGTGCAATAATCTAAATCTTCAAATTAGTGCATGACGGTCCAATTTTAGTGAATGTCAAACATCGATGGAACAAAGCTTTCTTGAGTTGACTCGAGGGAAGGTGTTATTTGCAAGCTTTTGGGGATGTGTTTGTTGATCTTTGATAATTAAAAGTTGCCCTACAATAGGATGCCTTGTGTGGTCGATATGTCTATCTTTGAATGGGTAGTCATATAGCTTGATATTAGTCCTTGACCAAAGACTCCCTTGTTGAAGGAATGTTATGTAACAGATAACACTAGTTAATTCAGTTTTATTTAAGGTGTCAAGCGAACCGAAGCGATCAAGGCTCCTAAAACCTAGTAGAAGCGAGAAGCGAAGCGAACAGTGAAAAAACAAGTAAATATTTTAGAGAAGTAGAGAATCAGAAAAACATGAGCAGAATCAGAATCAGAGATGCAGCAGCAGAAGCCATAAACATAAGCAGAATCAGAATTAGAGATACAACAGCAGAAGCCATAAACATAAGTAGAATTACAAGAAGAATAAGGATAAGCAGTACAGAAATAGAATAAGTAGTTTAGGATAAACAGAATTAGCATACACAGAAGCAACATAAACAGAGAAGAAGAATCTCAGCCAAAATAAAACAGTAGCACAGAAACACAGAAACACAACCACAGAAGAAGAGCCAAAATAAAATAGAATTAGAAGCATAAGCATAGAAGAAGAAGTAGAAGCAGAAACAACCAGTAACAACAGAGAGGATGCAGAAGCAGAGAAGAAGAAAAAGAAGAAAAAAAAACAGAACCAGAACTAGTAGCAAAAGAGGAGAAGAAGGAGAGAAGAAGCAGAATCAAAAGAAAAAGGAGAGAAAATAACATACCTGGGTTCTGTTGAAGAAGAATACAGAAAGTAGCATAGAAGACGTAGAAGCAGAAACAGGTACTGAGCTGTGTTTTCTGTCGAAGAAGAATTAAAAAAAGTAGAAGAATAAGAGAAGAGGAGAAGGAGAAAAAAAAAAGACAGAAGCAACAATAAAGATGAAGAAGAAAAAGAAGAGTTGGAGCAAACCTGTCGGGAGTCGGGACTTCTTCGGGAAAGAGACGAGACTTCTTCAGGAGCTGCTCCAGTCTTGTTTAGGCAAATGTAGGGTTTCGGTGTTAAATATATTGGGATAAGGGGCAATCAGGTGTATGGGCATCTCACAATTTTATTCCAATTGCCCCAATTCAACGGTCTATAATAAGAATAAAGCAACTTTAAAAACTTTACAAAAGCGTCGCTTTTCTTGAATTTCGCTTAAGTGCAAGGCACTCGCTTTTTTCTCGCTTCAGTCACATTCGCTTCGCCTGGGGTGCTTAAGGCAACAGACCCTCGCTTCGCTTTGCTTCTCACCTAGGCGAGCTTTTCAAAACACCGAGTTAATTTACACACCTGATTGGTTGTAGATTGTTTATTGCTCATGTTTCTTGGATGTGATAGTGCAGATACAAACGGCAGCACAAACTGCCCGTGTGAATCGTAACATTTGGGTGGAGAATGCAGATCGTTTGGTTGCTGGTTTTCTTGAGATGTTTGAAGAAGGTTGTCATAAAATGGTGAACACTCTCTCTCTCTCTCATATAAACACACAGAGGGTGCAGACAGGACACACATGTGTGCTCGTGGACATACATGCTCGTGCTTGTGCTGAAGGAGAAATGCTGAGCTTTCACCCCCAAACACACGTGCGGACACACACGCACATATAGTCTTTCAGTTGTAGTTTGCTTGGTGATTTACTTTTCAACTCTTAATATACACTGGTTTTTTTTATTAGGGAACTGCCATTAGAGATCGAATTCAAGAACAAATAATGGCAACGGGTAATATGAGAGGACTCGTATATGAAAAAGAAGGTGATGACGATGTTGACTATTATTATGATGACAGTACTGATGAAGAGTACTACGACAATGAAGATGAAGAATAAGCTTCCTCAGTCGGTCATCCTTTGCCTCTGCTGGAATGTACTTTCTTGGGTGTGGTTGTAGATGTAATTTGCAAAACATAGCTTGTTTTCTTGGGAATTTTACATATATAAACAATAAATAAGGGTTATTGGCACATTGTTCTTTGAAAGATTTTAAAATTTTTGTTGTTCCCTTTAAAGATTAAAAGTCCCATCCTTTTTTGTCCCGATTTGGGCCACAAATTTGTGACAAAAGGGGTAAAAGGTGGCATATTGATACCATTTGAATAAATTCAAAGTGTGTTTTTTAATCTTTTGAGGGACAAAGGGAAAGTTATATAATCTTGCAATGGGCAAAGTGTCATTCACCCTGTTAATAACTATATTTGATATAGATAATAACTATGTTATGAGAGAAGTTGCTTGTATAATGTTGGAAATAGAAACCAGGGATAATTGTGGTAGAAATACAACTTGAATCTGTCAAATCTACAAGACTGAAGACTATAGATTTGAAATCTGAGTGAGTTTTGCTGGAGTTGTTGAACATAAATGTCTGTTTGTAGGAGGATTATATTGCAGGTTTCCAATCTCAAAGATTTCCTGGTTCTCAGTGGGCTATGTCGTATTTGTATTTGATGAGTAATGTTTCACTTACCAAAACTTTGACCAAATTTTATTTGATACATAAAGGTGGGTGATTAAATCAGTCTTAGTAATTTTTTCTAGTAAGATTCACCATTCTAGCAATGTATATTAATTGTTAAGCAAAATTTGGTAAACATTTTCGTATGTACAGTATTTTTGGTTTTTTATTATTAAGAAAGATTAGGCATTCAGAGCCCAACAGAGACCTTGATTACTTCTTCCTTGGCCAGTTAATGAGTGAGTTTTGGATTGAATTTTGTCTGATCTAAAATTCTGTTTGAATCTAATGCGAGTACACAACGGATTTTGTTTTTACAATTTCTATACAAATGATTATTGGTTGACTTTGAGTCTAAATTAAAATAGGAATTACTCATCGTTTTGAGTAATTTTTTGTGAGTGTGTTTTATTTCATAAGGAGAATAATATTGTACATTTACATGATTAAATCGAGTAAGAGATGAATGAGAAAATAGACTCTAAAGTAATTATCTTGAAATGTTGAAAATAGAAATTGGGGCAATGTGGAATTTGACACCATATTGGTTGGGCAAAGATTTGATGAGCCTATATATACTCTAAATTTGCTCTAAGAATTAAACCCCAAGGGGCACCCCACTTTTGTGGACGGAGAGTTACACTATGTGCATCATTCGTCACAACCCGGCCAGGTCCGGCTTGGTAGTGTGGCTCATATCGAATTTTATATTTTTAAAGAAAAATTGTTTGCTAAATGGATTCTTAATTGCTTAACTTGAGTTTTAATTTCTACCTGTTGAAATTCAAAATTCCTATTAGTTTGGATTTAAATTTTCCTCCAATTTGAATTTGAAGTTTGTGTATGTTTATGAATTGGCAGACACGAATGGTCCTTGTATAATTTGATTTGCTGGGCAAACAAATTAGAGTGCTATATCTGTTTGCGTAAAGGTCATCCTTGGAAGCAGACTTCAAGATTTTCATTAGCACTAGTGTGGGGGTGAAATTTATCTTAAGGATAGTGTTAAATATTAGTCTTGATTTAAAATTTCATGTTGCGTTTCTGATCTGCATTCGGGTTAGTTTTATTTACTGCAGTTTTTATGTGTTACTGTTTTGTTCTTATGTGTTTACTGTTTGGTTATTAAATACATATATATATATATATATTTTTTTTTTTGTGTTGTTTAGTATATTTGCATGTTTAATATTATTCCAGAATATAAGTAATATTATTCCAGAATCATGATATGTAATGCACCATATTGATATCGACCTCCCTACAATCCTTCATTACATTGTTTGGATAATACAAGATCAAGACCTAATGACTCTTATCAGTATCATTATTTCATCCAATGCTCTCTCACACATCATTGGCTACAAAAACTTCTAGAACACATCATTCCTCAATCTCTACGTCTAATATCCTGCAATTGAAAGTTAATATTACAATGGATGATGTTTCCATTCAAAAAATAAAGAAAATAATAAATAAATTAAGAGCTACTCAGTAATGTCAATGATGAAAATATACTCATTTATGCATTGAACGGATTACCGCCTCAATTCAATGCCTTTAAGACTTCCTTTCTATGAGAACCAAATCTCAACCACTCTTTAGAAGAACTTCATGTTCTTGTTTAAGTTAAGGAATCCGTCCTTTATAGGACAATATCTGAATCAACATTATCCTATTGCAATGGATGCAATTCAACATAAGACCTTCAGTTCAAGGGAAGATGAGGCTTTCAAGCATATGGAAGAAATCAGGGAGGATGTGGACACAGAGGAGGAAAAGAAGGAAGATACCATAATTATCCTAGATATAATTAACAGTTCTTTCAGAAAATTCTTCATAACCAAACAATACACAAACATAAACCAAACAATTTCATTGTTTTCTCAGAGAGTTATGGTCATATAAAGTGCCAAATTTGCAACAAGAGAAAGCACTCTGCTATTGATTGTTCTCACAAGATGAATTATGCCTATCAAGGCAAGAATCTTTGATGTAATTAACAAGCCAATGAATATGCCAACATTTGATCAACCACAGAGTACTTCTAACGTTTGGTTCAAACCACATCACTTTTGATTTGATATCTCTTGCATTCCCATCTGAATACACTGGAGAAAACCAAGTCTGTATAGGTAATGGTTTTCAATTACCTATTTCTCTAACAGGCCAAGTAGTTTTGCACACAAATTCACATAACTTTAAATTTCAAAATGTTCTTAGGGTTCATGATATGACTTCAAATTTTCTTTTAATCCATCAGTTATTCCTTGATAACAATTGTCTCTTTATATTTCAGTCTAACAAATTTCACATCCATGACAAAGCCACAAGAAGGATCTTTTACCAAGGTTCCAATGAGAATGACTTGTTTCCTATCAGATCACTCCATCATTCTCCTTCTCTAGTAGCCAATTTGGGCAACAAGCCATCTAACATCTTGTGGCATGATCGTTTTGGCCATATCCTTCTAAGAAAAAAATATCAAAGATGCTGTCTAGTGTCATTTGTTAAATTCAGTTTCTACTTGTATTCCTTCTATTTGTAAACAATTATTGCATGGAAAAATGTCACATATATCATTTACTATGTCTCATTGTCTAACTCATTCTCCCCTAGATATTGATTACACAAATGTTTGGGGCCATCTCCTCATTTGTCTTTTAATGATTTTTGTTTCTATGTTTTCTTCACTACAAGAAAAAATAGTTTTTTCGGCATTAAAGTGCTGTTATGAAAAGTCTATTTGCCGTCATAAATATTTTTTGTGGCAGCATTACCTCGTCATAATAAATGTGGTCTCAAAAGGTTTTTACGGGAGTAACATTCTGTCTCAAATATTATTTAGGCAGCAAAACCCTGTTGTAAATAAGTTGTCACAAAATATTTGACACTTTTACTTTTATCACGGCGGCAAAAATATTGTCTCAAATACCACATTTGGCTGTTGTAAAAAATTGAAGGATTTGTTATGGCGGTTAATATACTGCCACAAAAAATTTGAAATTTTTTTTATGTTAAATGAAATATATTTATGACGGCAACGATGCCACTACAAATTTTTTTTTTTTTTTAATTATTATGGACTGTTGGTAACCAATGTTATATACTTTGAGCATATTTCGTCACATGAATTTAAAGGTACATATCCGTACAATTACACAATTCAATATATAGATAAACAAAAAAATAATATGACTAACATTTTCAAAAACATAGCAATATTTTCATATATAAAAAAATCTAATGAGTTAAACAAAATATTAAATTTGCACTTTTGCAAAACAAAACAATCTATGAGTACAAGAATTTAAAGCAAAAAGTTGAACATTCTTCTCGAGCCATCTACTCTTTCAGTGACATCTGAAAAAAACATAAAATTATTGTTACTATACTAAAATGATATTCATATACATGTATACAATAAATGACTAAAATAAGTGAGAATATAAATCAACAGAAGGCCACACAATATTTCTCTGAACGACTTGTCTAATTGTAAGAATACCTCGACAAGACCTTATGAAACACACATTTGGATCTCTTGCATTTTCAACAAATTCTTGCCAAAAATTTGATCCTAATGGAATTCCATCTATTTATGTCGATTGATCCATACTAATAATAAGGCTCTATGCCACTATGCGTTTTGAAACTTTAGAATTAAGTAAGTCTACTTTGTCTCCAATCTACAACCAAAATAATGATTGCTCAACAAGAAAAATATATAATAAAAGTTAATATTACTTGTTTTGATGACTAATAATTATTATAAATGCATAATAGAAAAAATCCATGCAATTCACGGTAAATGTAATTCACAATATGTGACGCATATTATCAATACATCACAAATACAACAATATACATTAATCAACATCATATTTATAACAACCATGATGAACTAAGAAATTGCAATAATTTATGTGTCGATGAACTCAACATATATGTGGACTACATCACAAAATATCACAACAATCAGAGATTCACTAATACATATCAACATTCAAAAACATGGAAGAAAACAAAATCCAACCATTTCTAACAGTCATAACAATTTTCATCCAAATAAGAACTATAGAATATAAGTCGTGGGACATGCGAAATTTCTAACAAATTTAATTGATGATAGTTTCTTGCAGATAACAATCATTTTATGGAGAAAAAATGAACCTCATTGGTGGAACAATCTCATTTAACGTACACATACCTTGAAATAATCTATGTTAAATAATACTATCTTTCCTATATTCCCAACTGCGATATGAATCTGTACCTATATTTGACATCAAAACTGTCATTAGACATAAATACGAAAATTAGAAGTTTTGTAGTGGTACAAGTTCATAAATCCTTAGTTTTGTAACCTAAATATAAATAATAATACAAAAGCTTATTAGTTGGCTGCATAGACAGAGTGGAAGTTCATCTCCCCTAGATTCAATATGCGTCCTTATTAAATCTGAAGTCTAAGACATGATAATATATCAAAATCAAAATCTACATAATTTTAAAATTTTAAATTACAAAATAGAATTTGTTATACTCATTCACCTGTCGGCCCACCATAGGGGCATTCATTTTTCAATTGAGATTCCAAAAAAGTAATTTTTGCTTCCATAAGGTCGAATTCTGCTTTAACTTGTTGATTTACCTCTCCTTGCATTCTTTCAATATATTGTTGTGCTACATCAACTCGCATTGTTTCTTTTAACTGCTGCTCTACCTTCGCTCGCATCGTTTCTTTAAATTTTGGCAATTGTGGTAATGAATTAAAAATTAATAATTTTATAGGCAACAAAAAATTAATATCGTCTTTTAGTTTTTGATAGTTCTGTCAATCATGTAGGATCCCATAATAATTAAGCACTCAAAATAACCTCACACAAACAATAATCCAAAAAAAAAAAAACAAAACAAGATATAAAATCAAGAAAAACTAAATTATGAAATTGACGAAACACGTCAATGCTCAACATCAAAACAAAAGAATTGTGTTC